GGAGGAGGGAGATCTCTTTTTCTCCCCCTCTTTTGAGAGCCCAGCAGCTGATCTCAGAGCACGCTCCCCTCTCCTGCAGGGGGGCATGGTCAGCTGCAGCTCACAGAATCGGCCTTTTCTTTAAATATAATTTCGATGTCGATACAGTAGCCCCTTTTTTAAAATAGTTTTTATAGGTGTTGCTATCTGTTTTGTGTAGCGTGGTTCTACAAGCAAGTCAGTGCATTCATGGGGTGGTATCAGAGAGTTACAAGGGTCTGTAAATGCAATGAAAACATTTTTTTTTTACTTTTACATTTTTACTTTTGAATACTTCAGTACAAAGGATGTATTGATTAATTTAAGTGATATATGTGTACACATAGGCATATACATCATTCATTAGTCAAAACAGGGCTACATTTGATTTAATTATAAAAGGTATAATATGTGGTAAACTGAAGAGCCGTTTGGGAGCCGAAAGAGCCGGCTCTTCTTGTTGAACCGAGCCAAATGATCCGGCTCACCAAGAAGAGCCGGAATTCCCATCACTATTGTTTTCCCCCAAAAGTGGGCGGAGCCGTTATTTTTGCCCGGAAGTGACGCATTTGTTACTCTCATGATGCTAGCCTTATATCTCTATGATGCTAGCAGCGGCGCTCTCTGACTGACGTACTAGTTATCGATTTTTAAATGTATAGATTTGTTAGATTAGAACATAATCAATGAACTATTTTAGATTAAAAAAAAAAAATATTATTTGTTGAACTATGAAGCCTTTTGTAAAAAAAAAAAAAATGAAAAAAAATGATATCATGATAATTTAAATTAATGAATCCGAAAACTTTTCACGGACCCCCTGGCAGAGGGCCACGGACCCCCGGGGGGTCGCGGACCCCACTTTGAGAACCACTGGTTTAGAGAGCGATGCGATAGGAGCGATTAAAGCGAAGCGAATATTCGCACCACGTCCGGTGTGAACGCAGCATAAGTCAATGTTATTCAAAGGGTATAACGCATATTTTAAGGATTGTAAGGGGGAAAAAATAGAAAAATGGGATAAGTGTGAAAAAAATGTACCTCCCTAGGACCAAATAACAAACTATAGTTAAAGTAGTGATTAGTGGGTTCTGGCAATCTCCCACATACAGCGAAGTCTGAAGAAAACAAGAGCAGTCCCCAACATTGGACATCAAATTCTCACATTCCCCCCCCCCCAGCTTGACTAAATCGGCCATTTGTTTTGCACCTCTTTTCCACACAGTCTCTCTCAATAGTGTGTGAGCTCTCTATAGCCAGGGTCCATCTGTCATGTCAGAGAAGCAAAAGCTGAGAGAAACAAAGGCAGCAAAGGATCGCTGTGACCTCTGACCTCTGTGTCGATGCTGTCCTCTCTCAGAGCTGTGGTGTGTATTTATGAGTCTCTTGATGAGATACAGAGGGAAAGAGTGTTCTAGAGAATGTTGTGTGAGAAATCTACAACTCCTTTTGTCTGCATCTTATGTGGTTGGGTTATATTGTGATACGTAAACTGCTTCCTCAGTAACCATAGTGACATACAGTAAAATGCATTGTTCTTGGTATTCACACATTCTAAATGAGCTGTTTGACTCGACTGCAGAGACAAGTTTTCTGTCATTTAGTGGCCTCGTTTTCTCTGACTAGCCTTCCCCAAACAAGGTTCATCAGAATCAATCAGAATGCGTTGTTTATCGCTGGGGAAGTAGATTTTGTTACAAATGCTAAGAATTAAAATGAATAAATAATATATATACACACATATAAACAAAATATATATATAAAACATAAAGAAGTAAAAGTAAGAATGTGCATTAAAGTAAATAACATTACTTAAATAGATTGCATACATATCCAACACACCCTGCCTGAAACGCTTCCATTGGACTATTTGCTTACTTCAAGAACACAGTGACATCACTATGTTACACTCTCGCTACTATTGGGTTGCACTCCAATATTGTACGTGACATGTCACAGTAGAGACACTAAACACTGATATACACCTGAACATCAGCAGGAGAGGACTCTTTAAAGTAGAGACACTACATACTGATATACACCTGAACATCAGCAGGAGAGGACTCTTTAAAGTAGAGACACTACATACTGATATACACCTGAACATCAGCAGGAGAGGACTCTTTAAAGTAGAGACACTACATACTGATATACACCTGAACATCAGCAGGAGAGGACTCTTTAAAGTAGAGACACTACATACTGATATACACCTGTACATCAGCAGGAGAGGACTCTTAAAAGTAGAGACACTACATACTGATATACACCTGAACATCAGCAGGAGAGGACTCTTTAAAGTAGAGACACTACATACTGATATACACCTGTACATCAGCAGGAGAGGACTCTTTAA